AGCTCTGGCGTGGGCTTCTGCTTGAGCTTTGGCCTGTTCGTTGCGTTGGTACTGCAGCAATGCGTCTGCCTCGCGTTTAGCTTGCGCTTCTTGTTGGTGTCGACGATCTCCCTCAGCTCCGTCGTCATATGAACGTTCTACAACCACCACCCATCGAGAAGAATGTCAACATCGTACATGTATTAGAGTGTTACCACGGTGTTATGTTTTCACTAAAGAATACCTGTGCCGTTGTCCTGGACGGCCACCTCCTCTTGTCCTCGATCCAACACGTGCACGTCCAACAGCGGCACGCGGGCCGCGTACTCGGAGGCGGGGAACACGACATGCTGTTGCTGCGCAACTACCTGCGCGGCTCGGATGGACTTTTCAAAGTTCTCAAACAACTCGACGTTCTTGGCGGGGTCGGCCAGGGCTTTGGCGGCTCGGGAGCTCACTTGGGCCAGATCGTCCCGCCACGCGCCCAGCACTTCGTCGATGGCGGCGGGATCGTACGACCGGGCAAAGAAGGCGGCTTCCGGCAGCCGCTTCGAGTCGACCAGCAGCCCCACGCAGTCCTTGAGTCGGCCGAGAAACAACAAGCTCACAAACGCAACGTTATGGCGGCCTTTGGCGGTGGCCATCTCGGCCAGCGTCGCCAGCTTGACGCGGTCGCCGCGGGACGTGTACAGCAACAAGAGCAAGCTCAGGTCCTCAGAGCGCACCGCGCAGTCCTCGGCGAGCGTGTAGTTGCCGTCGTTGAGCGCGAGGTCGCCGAGCTGCTTCCACTTATGCTGGGTATCGGTGGCCGACGCATGCTGATCATGTTCGCGCGCCATCATGATGTCCTTGGCCACGTCCAGCTTGGCGAGTTGCACTGCCAGGTCAAACTTTTGGTCGGGGTCTGTGCTCAGTACTAGCGCCTCTTCCTTGTACCCCTGCGACTCTAGGAACCGGGCGACGACGTCCATGAGGTCGGGCGGGATGCGCGGGAGGATGGCGTTAGCGGTCGTGAAGTCGTGGCGGACCACCGCGGTTTGGTACTCGAGCAGCACCAGGTGCACCGTGAAGCTGGTCACGTTCTTCTGTTTATCCATCAGGAACACGACATTCTCTTTGGGGAGGTACCCCAAGAGGTACATTTTCGTCGGCAAGTGCGTAATCGTCATGATCTCGCCGCCCACGTAATAGTTGAGTCGGCCGCCCGAGTTGACGTACAAGAAGCAGTCACCGACCCAAGTGCCGCTGCTCACCTTCTCCGACAGTTCATGGAGCAGTTCAAACGCCCCTTCGACGCCGTCCGGGCTCGGCGCCGCCGCCGCGTCGCGGTTGTAGCGAAGCACATAGTACGACGAGTCGGTTGCCAGCACCACGAGGTCCCCCGCGTCGCTCCACCATACGTTCTTGACCGTGGCGTCAATCTTGCGCACAAAGCGCATGTCGTTGTCCCAGTCATAGAACGCAATGCAGTCGGGGCCGCGGACCCCAATGAGCGCGCCGCCAAACAGCCCCTCGGCCGTGCACTGCGCCGGCTTTACAGTTTTGACTTGGACAAAGTTCTTGAACAGTACGATTTTCGACGACGACTCGCGCACTACATAGTCGCCTGTGCCCGTGGGCGACCACGCAAAGTCGAGCGCCGATCCAAAGCTCTTGTTGCGCAGCTGCTGAGACGTGTAAATGATGTACTCGCCGTCGCCGCACACGGCCACGAACCGCCCGTTCGAGTTGTGCTGGAGCTTTTGAGGAAACACTTCGCATGAGCCGAGGTCCCGCCCGGGCAGCGGCACGCGCTCGCCGTCCTTGAGCCCTAGCTCCGCCACCACGCCCTTGACTGACGCTGTTTGGATCTCGTTGTTGGTCGCCCAAATCAGCTTGCCGGTTGCGTCCATGCTCACGACGGGCGTGTCGTGGCCCAGTCGCAGCACCACGCTCCCCTCGTCGTACCCGATCGCCAGCACGTTGCTCGAGTCCAGTCCGGCGAGGCACCATGCGCGCTCCATGCCATAGTTGAGCGTGGTCTCGGCGCGGTACGTTGTCGAGTGCCACATGCGCACGGCGCCGTCCTCGCATGCCGAGATGATCAGCGGCAGACGCGGATGGTACATCACGTCGGCCAAGTTGTGCGTGTGCCCGTCCAGCGTGTGCACGATCGTCTTGGTCTGGTAGTCCCATACCTTGACCGTCTTGTCGTCCGACCCAGAGATCAGGTACGGCTTGTCCCCGCCGGGGTAGTAGTCGATGCAGTTGACGCCGCGCTCGTGCCCTTCGAGGGTAAAGTGGGGATGCGACGAACCGAGACCCCACACGCGGATCGTGCGGTCCAGACTGCCCGTGGCGAACGTGTTGGTGTCCTTTGGATTGAACTTGGCCATCATCACGTAGTGCCCGTGTCCTTCAAACACTTGCGTGCACAACCAGTTCTTCTCCCAGTCCCACATTTTGACCGTCATGTCGTCGGCGCAAGACAATATTATGGGCAGCACGGGGTGCACTTCGAGGAACCGAATGTAGTCCGTGTGCGCGTCGAACGCAGTCACCTTGTCCATCGTGTTGTAGTTGAACACGCGCAGCTGGAGGTCGTCCGCCGACGCCACGATCCACTGTTTCCGCGCAATGAAGCGCGCATTGCGTACCGGCAACGTCGACACTTCGAACGACTTGACCAGCTGCTGCTTGTCGTAGTCCCACAACATCACGGTGCCGTTGTACAGCCCCGACAGCACCCACGGCTCCGTGGGGTGCAAGTCCACGCTCTTCACGCGCTCCGAGCGGCTCGAGAGCTTTTTCTTGATGTCCAAACGCAGAGGCTACACAGGGTAACAACATTCATGACGTGTCTCTCCTCGTGGGAACCTCCCATGATACATAGCATGACGTACCATCGTTCCTTTGCAAATCTACGCCACTTTGGACTAGCGGACCAAAGTCAACCTCTTGAATTCGATAATGTGTGTATTCATTTACACAGGTTTAAGTGGTACGACTTGTCCACCGCTGATTGGTCAATCCTCAGAAGGTGTCGGGGCAATAATAATAATAATAATATTGTGCTTTCGAGTGAAATTTCGTGTTGTGGCGTTGGAATTTGGGATTTGATTGGCTACCTCATGAGCTCAAAATAAGGGTGCGTCTGGTAATTTCATTGAGAAGGTTTGGATAGCCAATCCAAACCTTCTCAATGAAATTCAACCAATCAGATCGATTGTGGATCGGTTTGGTATCCCCAAATTTGTATCAAATCGACAATAACGTAAAGTGCCAATTTATGACGTATGCTAATACCGGTTACCAGAAATATTGCAATATTCAGGCCCAAAACGCCATTTTGGGGCCGAATTCAACAAATCTGATCAAAGTTGAAATATGTCTTGCTCGAAGAGTTTTAACCCAAATCCAATAATTCCAAGTGGGATTTACTCGTTGAAGAGGTTCAAAACGCCATATTACAAAATAGACCTTTTACCTCCATTTTGAAAATGGCATTTTGGTTAATCCCATTTTGCGAGAAAATGGAATATTATTTTTGAAATGTTACCAGACGCACCCTAACAAGTTACTGTTAGGTCGTACGAAAAAGCACCAATCATAGATCGTTATTTGAATATGCACCAATCATACAGTGAACCTCTGAATTTCTATTCATAATTCCACACACACTGTAAAATACTTCGAAGTACACTAGTATGAGTTAACAGTGAATTGGCACTCGACGTTACTCCGGGGGTATAGAAGTTCCGCGTCTATAACGGTTTCCAAGGACTCCAAGCCTTGTCCAAGGGCATAAGAACTTAAAATTATGGGTTGTTCACGAGGGAATTCTCTCCCTTTAGGACTATTTAGATTTCGAAAATGATGAAGAGGACGGCGATACAGTAACCCATTTTTGAAATCAAATGAAAGTTGTATGTCATAAATTGGCATTTTACGGTATGTCACCAGTTTCCATTGGGACGGTGGCATCATCTTTCGGCTGAACCACATGTCCTGTAGGTAACTTAATGCGTACTAGTACCTGGTACTAGTACTTCTGAAGTACTACGTAGTACTACTAATAGTATGCATCACTACTGTATCCACAATGCTCAACGAAGGCAATGCCTAGAATTAGACGACAACGTGAGCAGCCCCACAACAGCCATACCATACAATACTACCCAGCAACATTTACAACAGATGACGACGCTATTCGTTGAGGCTTTTGAGCACAGACGATTTACAGTCAATTTAAAAACGACGAAATGACACTGCCATGATGGAGCGGCGGGTGGTCACGGGGGGGGCAGGGGGGCCACAGACTATGCACTTGCACTTGGGGGGGACTACAATGGTATCGTCGCCGCCGTCTCCTTCGCCGGCCCTGCCCTCGACTAACGCCGTCAATTTGGTCACCATCGCCTCCTGGGCGGTGCGGTCGGCACGCAGGATCTGCACGCGTTTGATTTCTTCGTCCGTGGCGCGGGTGCCGAGCTTGACAATCTCGAGGCGGCCCTTCACGCGGGCTGTGCGGGACGACAGCTGGCGGACCTGGAACAGGTGCTTGAACTGCTTTTGGGCGGCCAGTTGGTGCAGCAGCCGACTGAGGTCTCCGACCCACGCCACTTCGCGGCCTTGCAACACAATGCTCACCTCGACGGGCGACCGGAAAAAGTAGGACGCCAGCACCGCCAGCTCGCTCTTGTGCTCGGCCACGTTGACGTGGGGGATGCTCCAGTCCTGGATGCAGGGGACGGCGACGGGGTCTCGTCGGAGGCGTTCGATGCACGCCAAGGCCACGCCCTGCCACGCCGGAAACTGGTGGACAAACGTGGGTCCGTCCTCGAGCACCGCCGGCACAAACACATGCACGACGTCGTCTTTCGTCGCAGCGTCGGCGCGCACCAACGCCGCGACGTGGGAACCCACCGCGGTGCTCCAATGTAACGACGACACGGTGTCACAAGATGCGATAATGTCCAACGCCCGGGCAATGCCAAACAGCTGGCGCACCACACTCGCCCTCAATGCAAACGTACTGGACCCAAACTCGCGTGATTCTTGATACGACCAACTCGACGCAAAACTCATCAGTTCCTTTTGCTCCAACGACGTGATGGTGCCCGAGGCGGCGATCGCCGTGTGCATGAGGCACGCCGCCGCCGTCGGCGTCTCTGCCACCAGCAGCGGAATGTGCGGGTACGCCCGCACCGCCAGTCTCAAGATGCCGACAAGGGCGACGGGCGGCCGGACAAGCGCCGTCAACATAGCCAGAACTGACTCGAGCTTGGAGGGGTTGGTTGAGGCGGCGACCCCTACCAGCGCAGCCAGGGATGCAATCTTGACGCCTTCGACCAGACTCAAGTTCAAACTCGATTGGTCGTTAAACAGCGGAATCGTGTCTGGAAAGCAGCCAAGACGGTCAATCAAGATGGTGTCTACGAGGGGCTGCAGTCGGCGGAGCGACGCATGGATCGCCGTCGACTGTTTGTGGGAACAACGAACCGACGACGCAAAGTGGTTGAGCGCGGGCGCGAGGGTCTGGAGCACCATCGCCGCTCGATTCCGGCCTTCAAGTCGGTTAAAGTACTCGAGCACGCGCGCCACGAGCGATGGAAACGCAAACGAATCCACGACAGATGTCACGGACGATGGCAGCTTGGTGTGCAAAAACGTCAGGGCTCTTGTCATGCGCGAGTCGATCGCGTCGTCCACTTGCAGCAATTGCACGAGGAACGCAAGGTCCATGGCAGGCACGTGGTTGTGATGGGATGGGCATCCGCAGTTGGTGCCGTGCGGGCCCCCCGTCGTCGTCTGGACGACCTTGGCGTCGTCGCGTAGCCTGGCGTCGACAATGTCGCCAAAACACCCGCGCACCAGCTCCCCCGCAAACGGCGTGTTCCACAGCGCCGTCACCGCCGCACTCGTACGCGACGACGGATCATCCACATGGCGGCGATGGTGATGAGGATGGTACCCGGAAATAATCTGGGTCCCGCGAAGCACCATCTCGTCGTGATGTACCCGCGGGGGGGTGCCACAGAAATGGGCGACAAGCGCGAGGCAGTTCGCCGCGCCGTTCGTCCGGTCCAGCGCACACGTGTGCTGGCAGAGGCTTCGAAGGGGTTTGTACATGGCATCGACGCCAAACGTCGAAACTGTCGATGCCAGCGCGTCAAACAGGTGGTCGTCGATGCCGTCGTACTTGGAGTAGCCGGCAAGGAACGTTGGAAAAAAGAACTGGAGGAATTCGCTCAGGAGAGATACATCGCGTACCTCCACGAGCGCGTACAGCATGGGCAGCAGCGCGGTTTTCGCGGCTTCGTTGTGTGCCTCCTGGTGCCACCGACGGGACGTCGACCCTGTCCCTGGCTTGGAGTGTTGGTCCGCATGTTGGCGGAACATCTGGACCAGGCGGCGGGCCATGTAGGCTGTGGACGGGTACCCCAGCAGCAGGACGTCCGTAGCAGGCGTCGTACTGTAAATGGTCGATGTAGACGGCAAGGACGAAGAAGAAGCCGCGCCGGCAGCGTCCGTCGACTCGTCTGTTGGACCTTTCAACGCATAAGTCAACGCGTCTACGCCTTTGGGCAGGCCCAGCAGCTGTAGCCGGAGTGTTTTCGGGTAAAACAACAGCGCCACATGGGGACCAGGGGTCGCCGACGGGAACGACGTAACAAAGTCGTCGCGGGTCACGACGGGGGCTTGAAGCGCCAAGGCGGCCGGGGCGTCCGACGTTGGCGCGGGTACAAGGCGCCCCACCAAGAACTTTTCCTTTTTGACCTTGGGACCGGTAACCACCTCGACGTGTTCGTACTCGTCGTCTTCGCTGTAGTCATCGTACGGGTTCAAGAACTCGTCCCTTTCATCCGAGTAGTCGCTCCCAAACAAGAAGTCTTCTTCGATCTCGTTAATGTAGTGGATCAAATCGTAGCGGTGGTTCCGGCGGTGGAACTTGCGCAATTTGACGGGGCGTTTGTGTTGCCGGGTCATCTTGGTCAAGTACACGTCGAAGAAACGAGTGGCCACCAGCGCTTCGGCCTGCGCCAGGTCTTGGCCGGACAAACATTCCCAGGACAACTGCGGTGGCGACGTGGCGGACGGCGGCGACGACGACGACGTTACGGGGGCGTATTGGAGGAAATGGACGTACGGCTGGGGACGAATATGACGCGTCAACGCCACCGCCCGCAGCGCCGACACAGAGGCGGCCACGGAAGGCGGTAGGGGTGGGGGCGGCGGCACCTGCGCGGCCTGTGGAGGAGAGGATGCATGTGGTTCGGATGGCTTGGGGTGTTGAAGTGTCAAGTGATAGACCAGCCAGACGCGGCGCCCTGCAGACGGCGATGTGGTTTTCACAACACTGCCTTTTGTATGGTAAAACGCGCAATAGTGAGGCAACGACATGTTCGCAACGCTCTTTCCCGATGTTTCAAACGAGTGGCGGGATCGGGCCAGGCGAACGACCAGTTGGCCGCCTTCGTGGTAGGATGGCATGGCCACGACCATTGTCGCAAAGGAACTCGCAGGGGCACGCGGTGGCGTCACGGTTGCAGCGCTGCTCGCTTGCTTTGTGTCGATGACAAGATGGGACAGGGCTGCAGTCAGCTCGAACTCGGTCAAACCCAACTGGCGCCGGACTTCGCCAGACACGAGCGAGGCCACAAGGGTGTTCCACGCGGGATTGTCAAAGGTTAGAGCCGATGCATGCACGCAACACGAGTCATCCACGACTTGGATATGCTGAGACGTGCGAGAAGCAAGGTGACTGACAATGTCGCGAGCTTGGCCGGATGGCAGCGGCCAGGCCAACTCTTCTTCGATGCCGTCAATACACAATCCAGGATGGACGAAGGAAGGAAAGGCTCTCATGCTGCAATGCTTCCCTGGGCGCTCGGCCAGCGCCAGGGCAGCAGCATACCCCTCACGGATGTCGACAACAGGTCGCTTTCCCATTCTTTTTGCGAATACTACGTAGTTGAGTACTGAGTAACCGGTCAAGTTCAACTTATCCGGATATTTATACCGTTTCGTTCGTGTGGTGTGTCAGAAACTCAACAGTGGACGACTATGGTGAACGAGAAGGATCTGAAGTTGAAGGTGGGCATTCTCAAGCGGTCGAAGAAGGATCTGGTCTACTACGAGAAGGAGAAGGCCAAGCAGATCCTCAAGATCGAGACCATGCGCGCGGACAAGGACAAGTACGACGACCACGACATCCGCAAGCAAGAAGAAGTGCTGGCCGAAACAGAAGCCATGCTGCCAGAAAGCACAAATCGCCTTCATGCGATCCAACAAGAAGTGGAAATCTTGTTGCAACAAGTGCCGGAAGGCTCCGAATGGGTCTGCATCGAAGAGGCGAAGGAGCTTTTGGTGGCCAATTAAGCAGCCACCAAGGATTCTGACATGAAAAGGATATCTAGTTTTAACACTAACGTTACCGCTTTGTGTCACTTCGTCGGAAAGGGGTTTTACAACAATTGAACGCATGAGAGCATGACGTCACGACGATATCGTCGCACAAATAAACTGTTGTAACGTTAGCTCCAGAGCGTCAGATTATATCGTGACTCCGACGTGTTCGGCTTCCCTGAAGTCGACCTTAGGGTTCAACACCCCCTCCATCTCGTCCGAATTGTAAAGGCCAAACTAGGAGTCGTCGTCCAGTTCGAAATGTTGGTGGCGGCGTCTCGGGACTTGACTGGTAGTTAGAGTCATGTTATTGGTGAAAAATCGAGTGGTTACCACGTTTAACCAGGCAATCAGTCCACGCCAGCTGCTTGGCCAACAGTGGTAGTGAGGGCGTATTGAACGAATAAACACACGGCTGTGGACGCGCTGCCATGGCCAAACCATCACCGCCTTCCGTAGCCGCAGCCGGTTTGGAATTGAGGCGGTGGTGATGGTGGTTCTACGGGCACTGCGCGATGGAGGGCCCGCTGCATGTCGACATTTCGGCAATGTCCACTAGCACAAGAGGCATGCTTCTTCGCTGTATCGTACAGTATACACTCAAATAAATCGACTACAAGGGGTCGTAAAGAACAAGGCATCGCTGACAGTGAGGGCTACGCAAGGCATCAGTCCTTCGAGGGTCGGGATCGGGTCCTTTGAGACACTATTGAATTTGTAGATGGGGTCTATCATTCGTAATGATGATGAATGTTAAAATAACGTTTGTGCAGAAAATGAAATGCCACCATGTCGGACCAACAAGGTTTGTAAAAGTAAGCTTACCAAAGCATATGAAAGTTACAAGACGTACCACAGTTGAATAAGGTAAAACTTGCAACGAGCAATGCAATCCGCAGCCATCAGCCTCTCCTTCAAGCACCTCGATCTCTCCGCTCGAGTGAAGTCTCCTGACTGACATTCATCGTTGCCACATGAAGCCATCGGGCGTGGCTCTGGAGATGTCGACATCCTAGACACGTCGCCCCCAGCCTCGAAATCGGAAGCCCCTCAGTCCCCACATCATCCACATGTCAACAAAGCTCCTTCAAGCGGCTCAGTTCATTCTCCAAAAGAACTGGCTCATTGCTGGCTCCGATGATCTGCGCCTCCGAGTGTGCGCCTGACGACTTGGAGCCTCGTGGTCGAGATTGAAGCTGCCATGACGACTGCATCCGAAGCCTCGATGTCCATCCGACTTTACCCTTGGTGCCCTCCAAGTGACGATGATTATAGAACGCGATCAAGACCTGGAACTGGGACCTCGACTGGGCCAACTCCAACACCTTCTCCGGTCACTTCAAGTACGTGAGGATGGCCAAGTTCAGCCCCCAGGCGACACGCTGGTGTCTGTGTCGTTCGATCGCAGCACTCACATGTGGAAGCTGGGGGGCGACATCCTCCGTCCTTGCGCTGGAGAATGCCCAACGAAAAATAAAGGCATCAAATGTATCGCATTTGACTCAATGAGGTTTCGACACTTCACTAGCGCCGACGACTTTTCGTTAAAACTACCTCCTCGGAAGTAGACCTAATCTGTCCATCAGGCAATGGCATCAAGCCCAGCGTCGCTGCAAAGCTGGCCCACTTCAAGGCAGTGTCTTGAGCGACGACGTTTCCCTTCGTACCATCCAGCACTCGCTGTATGGCAGCGTTCAGCTCCTTGGACTTGTACTGACCACGTGGTCGGCCCATGTCGGCGCCAATCAACACTGACATGGTCAGGACATCATATTAACGTGACGGATCTGTGATTTTGAGCTCCATTTACTGTTAATCCTCCATATCCGGCGAAGTTCAAATTATCTCGACGTAAAAGTTGCAGGGCCAAACTCACTTTTTTTAGCTTTATAGCATCGTCCGAATACAAATCAAGTGTAAGACTTTGAATCGGGGCAAATAAAATGTCAAAGTTAGAGCGTGTCCACCGCGCCCAATAAATTGGCCAATCAGTAAATCTGTGTGCTGATTTACTGAAAATTTACTGAAATATTTTCGCACCGCACCAGTATCCGGTTCAGTACTTTTCTGACCAGCAAATATTCCAGTAAAAGTCACACAGATTTGATGGACTTGTACTGGATTTGCTGGAATTAGTATCCGGTTATAGTGGCCGGATAGAGACATCGGTGCATAAACATGGAGCAGCGAAGGCTCAGGGTCGGTGATGGCATACAGTAGGTGAGGTGCAGTTCCCTGGCACGGTATGTATGCCGCAGTCAATAGCTTATGACTTATGTGGTGATGACTCTTGCGGCGTAGGTCAGTTGCGGCCGATAGCGCATTCGCCTGCGGTCGATGCTGTCGTGATAAGTTTACTGTTAGGAGGCAGCATCGACCGCAGGCGAATGCGGCCGGTTGCTTGTTTGCGCCGGTCCGAGCCCGGTCCGAGGCCGATCCTGCCGTGGTTGGCGGTGTCTGTCTTGCGCCGGTCGAAGTTGCATGGCTTGCCGCGTTGGCGAGAGTCGTGCGGCAGTCGGTGGGTATGTCTTCGCGACCGGTAGCCATGTTGTTAATGTTGCAGGCAGACCCTCCTAAAAAATAACCTAACGTAAACGGCCAATTGTTGCCCTCATTTCGACCCCTTAGCTTTTTGGCCTTATCTCATAGGCTAAGCAAAATTACAAAAATCTGAAGTTATCCAGTTGTAGAGGAAAGAACGCTCTAT